AATCTCAATGTATACCCGAAACCCTAAAAAATTTGATTTTTGCGGAGTTAAAAAACTATACCTGGAGGTCTTCGCAAGTAGGGTCCGAAGAGGGGGCCGAAGATGATGAAGACGAAGCCATTCTTCGTGCAAATTTGACGAGTTTGACGAACTCGCACAGAAAAATCACAGAGTGAAGAGAAAACGAAGAAGAAGAAACGACACTATGAAGAAATGAAAGTGTCTGTCGAAAAGGGGCAAAAAAAACTGTTTGGTTTTTTAAATTTTTTAAATTTAATAATTTACCAACTTTTGGTCTTTCTCCTTCAGATGTTGACACGTGTATTTTTTAAAAGGGGTTAACGATGTCTTTTCATTCTTTTACAGTTTTTGTTTGAAGCTTTTTTTTTTTTAAGGGTATGTCATGCAACTGAAATCGAAATTTAAAGTTATTTTTGTAATATTCCCTTCAGAATCTCTCACCCAATTTTTTCTACAACCGAAGATTCTGAAGCTCTCGGCAAGAACCCTAATCAGGGCACTGCACAGAAGAAATGTGTTCTTCTACTGCTACAACGGCGAAGAATTTCTCCATTTTTCTACCGAAAATCACTCCATCGATTCTGCAACGTCGTTTCAGTGTTCACCCATGCTGTGCCCTTCCCAGACCGCCTAGGTTCCGTGCCGTCGCTTCTCTCCCCGGAATATCCTGGGTTTCTCACTCTTCCGGAGATGGGTATGGTGGATGGGCTCTTGTTGATGACGATATTCCTCATCCTCACCGGAAAAAGGTGCAAGGTAGTGTGTCCTGTTTGATTTTTTCGAATTTAGACTTTTCTGGGTTTAATGGTTGCCGACAAATTTTATGACTTTATGTTGCATTTGGTTATTTTTCTTGTTAGAGTTCCGGAAGATTGTGATCGGTGGTGTTGGAACTTCACTTGCTGTTCTTCTTGCTACTGTTGCTTACTTCACAGTCTCGGGGAAAGGTCAGTTTTTTTGTTTGGATTTTCTCCGGAAGCTGAATTTCGCAGTTTGGCATACCCAATTCGGTGGTTGATCTGTTAATGTATTTTTTTTTATTGCCAGGGTTTAGGTTGGGATTTAGGAGTTCATTGCGTTCTTTATGTGTGGATTGGGTTCGGAATGGGAGTGAAATGAGCAAAAATTCGAGTTCGCCTGGCACTGATGAGAAGAATTTTGTTTGTAAGACGAGTCAGGAGGACATTGACAAGACTTGTGATACAGTTTCTTCAGGTACATTCCTTTTCTTTTCATCAATCTAAGATTGTTTTCGGTGGCTATGTAATGGGTTGGTCTGTTCATTATCTCTTTGCAATTTGTGGTAGAGCCTAGAACTAGTACTACTTAGTTTAATCTTAACATTTGTTTGCTTTGATTACTTAGGATCTACAAAGAAATCTCAACCTGTTTTGGTACCAGTTGCTGTGGATGCCACTCAACAGGAAGCATTGAAAATTTTAAAGAAATTAAAGGTTTGTTTCCAGAAGCCTGTTCTATGTCATTACATTGCATTGCATTACAGTCAATTCTACAGTGCTCATGTACCTGACATGCTGTGCACTGTAATCTGTTTTCCCTCTGAGGCTCAACTCATAAATTTGATGTGCTCACCATCCGTAGTTTTCATACATAATATTAACGGAACTCTTTGTCCAGTTCTGATCATGGAATGTCGCTTTGATTAAGGTATTCAGATCATTGAAGACGATGTAAGGGCAGATGACTTGTGCACCAGACGCGAATATGCTAGATGGGTAGTTCGTACAAATTTGTTGTTAGAGAGGTTAATGACTCTTTCTGAAAGGGTTATTGGTACCAAAGTTTCAGATATGACAAATTATGTCTCAGAGTCTGACTGGTAGAAACTCCTTATTTTTCTTACTGTAGAAGTCCAAAACGCAGGATTGTTCCTGCAGTAGCCATAGCCGGGTCATCAACTCCTGCATTTGATGATGTGAGTCCTGACGACCCAGATTTCGAGTACATACAAGGTGGAATCTTTCGGGTCATTTCTAATTTTCTAGTTTGGTTTAGTAGTTTATTTAGTTTCTTTTTAATTTGTTTCTATAGGAGGTGCCTTTCGGTAACGTTTACTTTTTGTTGTTCAACTTGTCATTCAGCCATTGCTGAGGCGGGTATTATTTCCAGCAAACTTTCCGAGGAAGATTCTCAATATGAGATGAATAAAGCAGGGAGCATCTGTTTTTCTCCTGAAAGGTATGACTTCAATGCCATGATACATCAACACGTATTGATGCTCGGTGTTTGATTAATCTCAATGATTTAAAAATCTGTCCAATCTCAAAGAGGATAATTCCTTTGTGCATAAGCTTTTAAGACTTTTGATCAGTGTCCTAGAAACTTCAGTAGAGGAAAATTTGATTCACTGCCATAAAATATCCACAACTTTGTTTATTTCCATGTCAGCTATGTTTTTTTTGTTTGCAAGTATTAAGTTATTAGACGAATGTTTTCTTCATTTGTAGTTTTGTACTGGCAACTTTATCTTTGTTTTGGATTTTCTACTTAGAACATATCTGGTGCCACAGTTTTGTTTCTCGACTGGACCTGATAAATTGGAAATCCCAATTGGAGTGTGATTGCCATCCAGAAATTATGGAAGAGGTACGATAAAGTTTAACATTTGGTTTCAAATGCTAATGTTAGAAGGGGAATTCTTCACAGATCTTTTGTCTATTAAAAAACTGACTTGTTTACAGTCCAGATATCGAGGACAAGGTCAGATTATATGGATGTGAAGCATATCGATCCCAATATAGCCCTGGGATTTTTCATGGACATGTTGGGGGGTGACAAGAGCACAATCAGAAAAGTTTTTGGTATTCCACTGCCATTCACTGAGTCAATTCTTGTTTCGTACTTTCTTAATCCAATGGAATACTTTCTTGATCCAATGGATATCCTATAGTTTTCTAACTTATTTTGACACTATAATGGCTCATGCATGCATGTTAGATTTGCACAAATCAGCAAAGAATATTGAGGTGAATGATTGTTCATTGTTGCCCTTAATGGGCATGATCTTTTTATTTTTTTCCTCTTAGGTTTTTGATATGAGTAAACAACTTCTCGCGTTCATTTTGTAGTTATTGTGTTCTCATTTCTCTTTCGCTGTGGTGATGTACTCTACACTTAGATCCGTATAAGCCCAAAGTCCTAGAAATGTGACGACTTGATGTTCAATTCATATACTACAGGAAAGATCAAGCGGTTTCAGCCGAGTAGACCTGCAACAAAAGCACAAGCAGCTGTAGCATTGACAAGCGGCAGGATGGAGGAAGCAATTTTGACAGAGCTATCAAGGGTACAAGCAGAGACTCTCGCTAAGCTAGTTGAGATGGAAGAAATCAAATCCGAGTTGCTAGAAAAGGGAGATATAATGCGGTATTGGGAAGAGACACTGCAAGAGGAGAGAGCCCGAGGGCTTGAAATGGAAGAGATTTATCTCACTGCTGTTCGTGAGTTAGAAGAAGAAGAACTTGCACAACAGAAGTGGTTCACGGAGCATTTGAAAGAAAAAGCAGCCATAGATTGTCAGAGGCAGCTGCTTCACACCCTGAGAGAAGAAGTTGATGAGATGTCTAAAAGGCTCGCATCCGAAAAATCTGTCTACCTGGATGAGCACAGCCAGTTAGAAGAAATGCTGAGTGACTTGAAGTCCAAACATGAATCATTGCTGGACAAAAGATCTATCCTTGAAGCTGAAGTAGAAGCGCTTCGAATTCTCAGGTAATGAACTACTAGTGCTTTTGCAATTAATTGAAATATCGGTTTTTAAAGAGCTGAACTCTGATTTTTTCAAAACCTCGATGCTGGGGTTCCAACTGTCTTTAAAAAAACCCGGTTGTAAAGTTCTGATCTTTAGAAAATTGAACACGGAAGTTTTGGCCTCTCGAGAAGACCCAGATAAATTGAACACGGTTGTAAAGTTCTGATATGTGGTTCATTTTCGATGTGGGTATGTAATGAATAATGGAAATGCAGATCATGGGTGGAGGATGAAGCTAGGGCAAGCCAAGCAAGAACCAAGGTTCTTGAGGAGGTGGAACGAAGGTGGAAATGGGACGACCCTGCATGAATCTCCTACCCAGATCTCAAGATCAACAATTAAAACACATTGAAGAGGATTCCTGTAAGAAACTCTCGGATAGCGCCTGTCTGGAATAAGATTTTGTCTGTTTGAACTTCAAGAATGTTCTTCAGGGATTGTACAAAAATTATGAAGTGTGTTGTTATATGGCTGATTAAATCTAGCTCGAGGAGGATTGCTTTGTTCACTAAAGAGCAATCCCTCTTTGTAACTCATTTCTATTTGAACACAGAACCAATATTCTAGGTCAAAAAGTGATCATATTCTCTTCGAATATTATCGTTAGTGGGATCTCTCTCGAAACTGTTCTCTCGCTGTTTCAAACCAAATATTCGGATTTCAAATTGGAAGGACAATCGTTCGATGTCGATGAACATTGAGTTCATATCTTTTGACTTACTACCCAATTCATAAAAGAGATTTTCTTCTTACAAAATGTTGAAAATCGATTGAAGGTTACCGCCGTTGTTCAGTATCAAAGTATCACCACCTGATAGGAGCAGCAACTGTGGCAATCTTCAACGGGAAAGTGGAAACACAGCAAAACAGAAGAAATCACAAATCTGGGAAGGTACGAACTTTGGCTAATTTAAAGTAAACATGTTCGAATCTGACGAAGGTTTTCGGCTTTCTATGGCTTTTATTGCTTTCCTTGAGAAGGGTTTGTTTGAAGATTGAATCTTTTGATATGGGCTTTGACACTGCAGATTGCCGAAAACTACGACACATCAATTTTCTTCCGGCGATATTCTGTTCAAAAGAGGAAACTTTCTTAACTTTCGTCACGGAATTGATGAAACCCATTTCTCAGTTGATGAATTCTTAGTCGTGTCGATGATTAAATCATCGTAAGGAGAGGCAATCTGCAGATAAGCGTGTAGGATAACGACTTGACAAGTTGAGCCTTCTGAATTCATGACCTTGAGAAAGAAACCTTTTTTTCAGATTTTTTAATTAGTTCTTATTTTTAGTATTTCTTTTATCTTGCCTTGGTGTTGTGAGAAAATTGTCCTTTCGAGACCAGACAGTAGGATATTGGTAATGGTGATAGATGAATTCGTCTACTACTTGTCTGTTCTTCATCACTGGCGATGTTCCCCTATTGGCCTCGAATTGTCTGAATCTTCTGAAACACTTGCCAATGAGTTTTATCCTCGTTCTAATCTTTCTTTCAGGTCATCCATTTTCAACCGTTTCTTCAGAAGGTGGTGATCAGAAATAAGAACAGCCCTTTTGTGAGTTTTCCACTCCTTAAACATGCAAGATTCTACTATTTCATAGCTGCTTATGAAAGTTGAAACAGGGTTTAGTGTGTGCTTTCTTTAGGCTTGTTCATTGATTTGGGTTTGGTTTGGTTTACCTGTTTTCTGTTCTGTATTTTCAATCACACAAAGCATGACCAAGATAAGGCTATAAAGGAAACATGTGATGTATCTGTGGTTGAGAGTGAGGGGTCCATCTACTGGAAAGGGTTCATTTCTTGGCTGCAGTTTTCTCCATTTACTCCTATCCATTAGCTAAATGGACGTAGAATCTTAATTGACCCTTTATTGTTTTTGCTCATTATGTGGCTTGGGAACTAACCCTACTTGTGGTTGGCTGGCCCCCCAAGCTTCTCTGCTACTTTGCTGTCTTGTCTTGCATCACACATTTTAGCCAATCTAATCTATCAATTTTAATGAAATGATTGGATGGTAAACCTTGTTCATGGTTTCCTCGAGGCTTATGAGTGATCCTACTTTCTCAGTTTTTAGTTTCACTGCTTAGGTTGGTTTCACCTGCTTGAAACATCCATTATAAAAGATACAAGAGACAGAATCTTAACTTTTTATTGATCCTCCTAACGAATCATATATATATATATATACACACCCACACACACGTGGACCAAGGTACAAAAGGATATTCTCATAGTTCTTGATGTATTCAGAGTTTGTACAGCTGCTAAATTTTGTTATGGTTCGGAAATGGTTGGTATGATTTTAAACGCCACCCATCCATATACATCTCTTGCCTCATCTGTCCTGAGCTAATAATGGCAAAATTTTACGGCGTCTAAAATTGGATTTCTGGCAAGGTTTTTTTTTTCATGGAGGGAGATAGTTGTTGAGTTTTGTCGGTGTCTGAGTTTTCTCTTACAGGCACAGGTGGGTTATCCACGTTGTAAGCTTCATGAAGAGGATATGGACCAATATTTCCTGGTTCTGTCTCTGAGAGGAGAAGAAACGATGGTTTGAGTCCTTGGTCATGGATGGGAAGAGAAACATGTTGTTACATGTTCTGGGATATTATCAACAGCTCTCTATAAATGACACAAGAAAGGGAATCTTTTCCCTATAAGAGATCTAATACATGATTCTCCGGTTACTTGTTGCTGCTTCCGTTGCAGCCTATACAGTTAAGAAGCTCAACAGTAAATCCTCAAAACACGGAAAACGTTCAGGTAGCTTGCTTCTCTGCTTAAATTATTCTCAATAGCTCGTGTTTTTCTTGTTAAAACCTGTTCTTTATCATATATTGTCTTTCACTTTATAAACTGATTTTGTTCATTCATTCTGCCTTGTGCTTAAGAAAATGGCCAAGATGGGGATAAAGAGCCGGTCTCTGGTACCAATGACAACATCAAGGATAGAAAGGTAAGAGTATACATGCAAACATTTGCAAAAGTTTCTTCATTTTCTGTACAAGAGATAATCTGCTTCATATGTTTGTTTACAAATCGGAAAATTGCAGATGGAAGAGGAGGAAGAAGAGGAAGAACAGGTTAAACTGATAAATAGTATATTCAATCAGGCTCGTGAAAGTATATCGGATTTCCTAGATGATGATATTTTACCGGAGTTTGAAAACCTTTTATCCGGGGAGATTGATTATCCATTGCTTAATGACAACTTGGATAGAGCAGAGAAAGAAAGGGTATACAACAACGAGATGGCATATAATGCAAGTGAACTTGAGAGGTTGAGGAATTTAGTGAAGGAACTAGAAGAAAGAGAAGTAAAGCTCGAGGGAGAATTGCTCGAGTATTACGGGCTCAAGGAGCAAGAATCGGATATTATAGAGTTACAAAGGCAGCTAAAGATCAAGACAGTTGAGATCGATATGCTCAACATCACAATAAACTCTCTGCAAGCTGAGAGGAAAAAGCTTCACGAGGAAATCTCACAGAATGGTGCCTTGAGAAAGGAGCTCGAGGTGGCAAGAAACAAGATAAAGGAATTACAGAGGCAGATTCAGCTCGATGCTAACCAGACAAAAGGGCAGTTACTATTGCTTAAGCAGCATGTTTCAAGTCTTCAGGCAAAAGAAGAGGAAGCCATGAAAAAAGATAGTGAGGTTGAGAGAAAGCTGAAGGCTGTGCAGGAAATGGAAGTTGAGCTCATGGAACTTAAACGAAAAAACAGAGAGCTTCAACACGAAAAAAGAGAATTGACTGTCAAACTCGATGCTGCAGAAACCAGAAATTCAGCCCTTTCCAACATGACCGAGGTAAAAACCACTAATTGTTAAATCATGTTTCCTTTTTTTTTTCTCCAGATTTGTATGCTATTTCTTTTGCCTGAAGCTATTTCCTTTCTTAAACAAAAACCTCTGCCCTTTTTACTGACTCAGAATTATGCATCCCTTGCCAAATGCTTTATCAGAGCGATAAGGTCGCCAAAGCAAGAGAAGAGATAAACAACTTGAAGCATGCAAATGAGGACTTATTAAAGCAGGTGGAAGGGCTTCAGATGAACCGGTTCAGCGAAGTAGAGGAATTGGTATATCTCCGTTGGGTCAATGCATGTCTAAGATACGAACTGAGAAACTACCAAACACCATCTGGAAAAATCTCGGCTCGTGACCTCAGCAAGAACCTGAGTCCTAAATCCCAAGAAAGAGCCAAACGGTTAATGTTAGAGTATGCGGGTTCAGAACGTGGACAAGGGGATACTGATATGGAGAGCAACTTCTCTCATCCTTCATCCCCAGGAAGTGAGGATTTCGACAATGCTTCCATCGATAGTTCTACAAGTAGGTATAGTAGTTTGAGTAAAAAACCGAGCTTGATTCAGAAACTTAAGCGATGGGGCAAAAGCAAGGATGACTCAAGTGTACAGTCATCACCCTCGAGATCATTCTATGGTGGGTCACCAAGCAGAATGAGTATGAGCCTACAAAGACAAAGGGGTCCTTTAGAGTCTTTAATGGTCAGAAACGCCAGTGAGAGTGTAGCCATCACGACATTTGGTAAAGCCGATCAAGAAACCCCTTCTTCTCCAGGTGAAGCTTTGAATAATGTAGCATCATCGTTTCAGTTGATGTCAAAATCGGTTGACGGTGTTATGGATGAAAAGTACCCTGCATACAAAGACAGGCATAAGCTAGCTTTGGAAAGGGAAAAGCATATTAAGCAGAAAGCCGAGCTAGCAAGAGCAGAAAGGTTTGGCGGTAGTGCGAATTTGCCTCCCAGACTTGCTCAGATAAAGGAGAAAACTGTTCCGTCTGCAGGCACGACAATGGTGGAGCAATCTAGTGATGGTAAAGCCAGCGAAAATGCTCAGAATGTAACAAAAATGAAGCTTGTGGAGATTGAGAAACGCCCGACTAGAGTTCCCCGCCCTCCTCCAAGACCATCTGGCGTTACCGGAGATGGTAAAAACACAAATTTACCATCAAACCCACCTCCTTTACCTGGTGGGCCACCACCTCCTCCGCCACCACCTGGTGGGCCACCACCGCCACCACCTCCACCCGGGGCCCTCGGAAGAGGGGCAGGAAATGGGAACAGAGTTCACCGAGCTCCAGAGCTTGTTGAGTTTTATCAATCATTGATGAAACGGGAAGCGAAGAACGACACGTCCTCTCTGATTGCTTCAGGAGGTAGCAATGCATCAGATGCTAGGAGCAACATGATTGGAGAAATAGAGAATCGATCAACATTCCTTTTGGCAGTAAGTCACGGTTTTACTCTTTGTAGCTGCTTCATACCTTTTTCCCGAAAATCAGTCTTGAACATAAACATACATACATACAATATACATGCAAATGTAATATGGTATGATTCAGGTAAAAGCTGACGTGGAGACACAAGGTGACTTTGTTCAGTCATTGGCAACTGAAGTTCGAGCTGCTTCTTTCACTAACATAGACGACCTTGTGGCATTTGTGAGCTGGCTAGACGAAGAACTCTCCTTTCTGGTCATTCCTCAACTCTCTTCAAGATGGGCTTTACCCATCTTTTATTATTTACTCAATTCTTCTTCCTTTTCCATGAAGATCTTCACACAATCTGGTCATTTCCGATGGATATTTTGAGTAGGTAGATGAACGAGCCGTTCTTAAACACTTTGACTGGCCAGAAGGGAAAGCTGATGCATTACGAGAAGCAGCTTTTGAATATCAAGATCTGTTGAAGCTAGAGAAGCAAGTGACTTCTTTTGTGGATGATCCTAACCTCCCGTATGAACCCGCTTTGAAGAAAATGTACAAGTTGCTGGAGAAGTATGTCTTTTCTGATCCACGATCCCAAATCTTCATCACATCTCTCTCTCTTTTTAAACCGTGTTTTGTTTTGTTATGTTCTATTGACAGAGTTGAACAAAGCGTATATGCGCTTTTACGTACAAGAGACATGGCTATTTCTCGGTACAGAGAGTTTGGAATTCCGGTTGATTGGTTGATGGATTCAGGAGTTGTTGGAAAGGTATTATGTTCTTCTTCCTTAGATGCGGAGATTCCGGGTCATCTTACAAGAACCTTGAACTTGTGTCTTTTCTTTTGCAACTACAGATCAAGATTTCGTCAGTTCAACTGGCGAGAAAATACATGAAACGAGTAGCCACCGAGCTTGATTCAATGAGCGGATCCGAGAAAGACCCTAACCGAGAGTTCTTGATTCTTCAAGGTGTTCGTTTCGCTTTCCGGGTCCATCAGGTAAAAGGAAGAAAAAAAAACATCCATCCATTCCATTCTTCTTTCTCGTTCTTGATTCAAACACAGTTTCCTGTTGCATGATGTGCAACTTCCTACTTCTCCAATGCTTACAAACACATGTGTATATATATACACACACTCATATATATGTATATATGTATGCATATCTGAACAAGAGAACGTGTTTTGTTTCGAGTGATTTTATAGTTCGCGGGAGGATTCGACGCAGAAAGCATGAAGGCATTCGAAGAGCTCAGGAGCCGCGCGAAAACTGAATCAAGAGAAGAAGCTGTAAACTGAGGTTTTAGGGTTCTTCGTCTGTTCCCTTTGTTATATCATAATATCCACATTCTTCAAAATGTGAAAATGATAGTAAATTTTAAAAGAAATGGAATAAGGAAAAATATACAATTTAATATTCTAAATTAAATCTACGAAATCTCTGAAAATAAAATAATAAATCCCCTTGCAAAAAAAGCAGTAGCATGTGTTTTCATTCATGTGCAGATAACGCTTCCCATGCAAAAGTCGCCCTGTAATATTTCTTTTTTATTTTATTTAATCCGTGTATTAATTCATTTTTCAACATTAATAAAATCCGATAATCATCATTTTGAGTTTATTAGATTTACTTTTAAAATCAGACAACAACTGACGGCTTCGAGTTCCCACTGCACGTGCACTCCGAGATCTAACACTTTGATTGCTTAGTTACCGCAGATTTAGAAAGAGAAAAAGGTCTGTGATAATATATATACATATGTTATGTATGTTTATTAACATATAAATTTACATGCCATATAAGATGATTCCTACACTAAAAATTGTTCATTATTTTTTCTTTCCATTGGATTGTATATCACATAGTTTTGCAAATACTTCTATTCTATATCACATACACACATAGAGTTGCATGAATAAATATTATTATTACAAAAAAAATGATTATGTTTTATAGAGAAATTAATTGGGGAAGGCACATTAAGGAATCTGCCACCACCTAACCAAACGAGGGTCCATTTATTTTTATTTTTATTTCTGTTTCATCATCACCAAACATAGATCTTCTAATCATATAAAGTTTATGGCTTTGTGTTTTAAATTAAATTTAATAAACAAAATCTATAGTTTTTTTTTTTTTGGGTATCCAACCGTTTGAAAAGCGAAGAAGACCGAAGATTGCAACCAAACAAAAAAAACAAGAAAGCAACAAAAAAATAAACAGCTGGATTCTTGCAAAAGCCAATGCATTTGTCGTCTCCAAGTAGAAGTACTTCACGTTGTATACCTCTTCGACCACATGCTGTCAAAACCGTATTCATTAAAAATAACATTAATAATACGTACGTATCCGAATACGTATATACGTGTCTACACCTTCTTCTTAAAACTCCAAAACACTTCTGTTTCTGTCCCTGTCTCTCAATGGCTCATCTTCTCGCCCTCTGCTCCCTCCTCTCTCTCCTCTTCCCGGCGTGCTTCTCCGCCGCGGTGACGGGCGAGGCAAATGCACGCGCCGCCGCGAACGAGTACCTGAAGCTGCCGTTGCTACGCAAATCGCCGTTTCCTTCTCCGACGCAAGCTCTCGCCTTGGACACTCACCGTCTCGCTCTTCTCTCCCTTCGCCGGAAAACTCTTAAACCCATACCAGCGGTCAAATCTCCGGTGGTCTCCGGCGCAGCTACCGGATCTGGTCAGTACTTCGTCGATCTCCGGCTGGGTCAACCGCCGCAGTCGCTCCTCCTCGTCGCCGACACCGGAAGCGACCTTGTCTGGGTCAAATGCTCCGCCTGTCGGAACTGTTCCCTCCACGCGCCGGGCACCGTGTTCCTCACGCGCCACTCGTCCACATTCTCTCCCACTCACTGCTACGACCCGGTTTGCAGGCTCGTCCCTAAACCGGGTCGGGCCCCGGTTTGTAACCATACCCGGATCCACTCCACGTGTCCGTACGAGTACTCGTACGCGGACGGGTCGCTCACCTCCGGTTTATTCGCCAGAGAAACGACGTCGTTGAAGACGAACTCCGGTAAAAAGGCGAAGCTCAAGAGCGTGGCTTTCGGGTGCGGGTTTCGGATCTCGGGTCCAAGCGTTTCAGGTACGAGCTTCAATGGGGCCCACGGAGTAATGGGCCTGGGCCGTGGGCCCATTTCGTTCGCATCCCAGCTCGGTCGTCGTTTCGGGAACAAATTCTCCTACTGCCTTATGGACTACACTCTCTCTCCACCTCCGGCGAGTTACCTCATCATCGGCGACCAAAACGCCGTCGTTTCGAAGATCCCGAGGCTCTTCTTCACTCCATTGTTGGCCAACCCGTTTTCTCCGACGTTCTATTACCTCCAGATCAAGTCCGTTTCCGTCAACGGCGCGAAATTACGGATCCACCCCTCCGTCTGGGACATCGACGACTCCGGCAACGGAGGCACCGTCATCGACTCCGGCACCACTCTCTCCTTCCTCGCCTCGCGGCACTGAGACGGCGGATCCAGCTTCCGATCGCCGCGAAGCCGACGCCGGGGTTCGATCTCTGCTTCAACGTCTCCGGTGTCTCGAAACCGGAGATGGATCTTCCGAGGCTGAAGTTTGAGCTCGCAGGAGACGCGGTGTTCGTCCCGCCGCCGAGGAATTACTTCATCGAGACGGAGGAGGAGATCCAGTGTCTGGCGATCCAACCCGTGAATTCTCGGGTCGGGTTCTCGGTGATTGGGAATCTTATGCAGCAAGGGTTCTTGTTCGAGTTCGACAGGGACAGATCACGGCTTGGTTTTTCTCGACGCGGTTGCGCTTTGCCGTGATGTTCGCCGGAATATTCCGTTTCCGGCTCACTGGTCTGGAGGAGTGCAACTCGTTGGTTCAAAGATTCTTTTTCTTTTGTCTTTTTTTTTTTGGTCGCCTAAAGGACAAGATTGAGTGGCAGTTCACTGTTTTAGAAAAATACTAAATAAAAAATCTTTTTTGAGTGTGTATTTTGATTTTGATTATTATCTTTGAATATTACAGAATATAATTAACCAGTAGTTTATTTTATTTATTTATTTTTTTGCAGTAATTACTTATCGATTATGCAGAAAAGAATTAGTTACTAATTATGCTTGGATTCTTCTGATTTGGCTAACGGGAAAAAAACAGGGGAGAATCCAAGATAATAATGTGCTTTTTCATCATTTGTTATTGTATAATCACAAAAGTTTTATATATTTTTATGTCTCTTTTGTCTTTTATTTTTTGTTTGTTTATTTTTTTTACAATGCAAAAATTGAAATATTTTTTAAAAAATTGGAAATGTGGTTAAATATTTCTATTTACATTTGGATTTGGATTTGGATTTGAACCCGAAATAAGAAAATATTTTACATATTATCATTAGATCGTCTCAATTTAGATTTTTCGTTTGCTTAATTATTAACACCTCCACGAACATTTTAATCACTGATTTTCTATAAATGAAGTTGCAAGAAACTAAATCTCTTAAAAAAATTTATGAGATTGAAAAATTACATGTTTATTTTTTTCCTGAAAACTAAAAATCTGAGTTGAATAAATTATTTAATAATATAGAAACTAGTGGAGTCGTAGAGTCAATGCAACTACATGGGCAACATCTCGATTTGTCCGGATCACTTCACGGTCGAATAAATGAAATGCAGATGGTAATGCGAAGTTATAATTATATAATAATTGGCTAATATATATATATATATATATATATAGAAGAACATGTGATAGTAATAAATTAGCAGCCTTTATCCAACTTGCAATTTCCTCACCACCTTGTAGACTCGTAGTAGTAAATGCACATACGAACGTTTATTAATTATTTTAGATACGCAATCGTATATAGCATGGTATCCAATTTAATGATATATGCAATTTCAAAGCAAGTAATATATAATACGCTACCATTACAAAAAAAATATATATATATAATATGCTAAAAATATTTGGGCCAGAACGATTGTAGCCCGCGAGGCCTGTGTCTGTGTTTGAATCATATTGGACCTAATTGAACTATTATTTGCCGGATCCCTTTGGGCTTTCATTTAGAGTATGTATGTATGTATGTATGTATGTATGTATGTATGTATGTATGTATGTATGTATGTATGTATGTATGTATGTATGTATGTACGTACGTACGTCATGATGGAGTAAGCCTAACGTCATAATGATCAAAGCCCTAAAACAGCACCGAGATAGTGTAACAAAAACATCACACAACTTTTGGATTAAAGTGATTATCTTCATTTAAAAAAGATATAGAAAACCTTAAAATATATAAAAGGCAAGTCACACATACATTCATATATATATATATATATATATGCACACTCATATATGCATAGGTGACATAGATGATCTCTATCTATATGGGCCCAACTGTTTAAAATAAAAAAAAAAGAAACGAAGAACCCACATGGGACCAGACCACCCATGCGTGTGACCACAAAGTAATGGTACTTATTCCTAATTAAGCTTATATATATAAAAAAAACGCACAAAACATATTATACATACATATATGTATATATCAAGGAATTCACAATTGAACCATTGCTTCTCTAAGCAATACCTCATCCCACATCATCATCATCATATATATATATATATATATAATGCGGTTGTGAAGACAAAATTGTCACAAGATGTAAAAGAAACGAGTGCAAAACATATTTTTAAAAAAGAAAATGAAAGGAGATTTTGCACTAATGAATGTCTAAATTTTAGCATTCAAATATAAAATAAAGTATTTGTAGATAGGGTACACTGAATAATCGGTGGTGGTGGTGGTGGTGGATGGCATTGTTGGTGTGCATGTAGGGCTTGCCAAAGCTATAATGATTTAACAGTTTGACCATTTCACTTAAAATGTTTTGGTCTGAAAACTTTGGACGACAAGTACGTACCATCGATTTTCATTATATTCCAATTGCAAATTAGGTGTGTGTGTGTGTGAATATATATATGTATGGATACAACAAACATAAGATATAATCTAGAAATATAGGGAGCAAATGGATATATAATACCCAAAAAGGGGCTGAATTTGATCGATAACCGAAGACCCCGACATGGTTTACGTGATGATTAACTGGTTGGCTTTAACTAAAACCAAACCGGTTAGCATGTGAATTTCACTGTATTATCATTTATTTCTTTGGTTTTAACCTAAAGGCCTGTTTTTTGGACCAACCAAAACAGCTAAAGGGTATGAACTTGTAACAACAACGACAATAATAATTAATAAATAGTAACAATAACAATAATATATAACATAATGTTAGTGTGTGTATGTTTTGTCAGTGCGTGTTGGACACCGTGAAAATGATCAGTATGTCTCCAGAGTCATTTAGGAAACATACATCATCATTTCTGCGTTTATATTATATATATCATTACTTTCTGCGTTTATATTAAATTTATGAAATATACGTATTTTGAAATAAAAGAAGCCTGTACTATATATTTCGAACTAGATTTAACGAAATGGTGCTTACATTAAACTCGAAGTGAACAAAAACGAAAGAGTGGAAGAGTTCAGAGACAAAATGATTAGATTGTCTTGGAGAAGCGAGGAGAGAAAAAGGACAGCGTGGATAAAAATATTACAGAATCTGGAACATCGTGTGGGCCGTCGCTCTGCACATCCCCTAAACCCTAATATATTCTCCTCGATCTGTGTATATATAGATAACAGACACGTGTATATATATAAAACATATATCTTTTTAAAAACTTGTAAAAGATTCCTAAAACAAGCTTGTGAAAGCCCATCAATCGATTCACATCACAATTTACTGGGTGATTATTTCAGAGAAGAATCATGGAATATGGGATGTGATCGAAGAACAGAATATTCGAGCCAAATTCAAGCTCAAATATATATATATATATATATATATATATATATAAATATATATATATATATATATATATATAATTGAATAGTGGGTTTTGGCTAAACGACTCGAGCATAATGATGAAAAGTAAAAGCCTTTGTTTGGTCTCTGGTCGGTCGACAATCCGTGTGTTATGTGGTCAGTGTTGGGTTTTGTTCTGTTCTTTTTTTTTTTCTGTTTAGGGTTTATGTTTTTTGCCAACATTCATACTTGTGCCAATCGAGAAAGATGAAAAACGCAAAAAGAAAATAAATGATTAAGAAGCCAAATGTAACTTTTTTTCACGCAATTTTCAGACCCTATTGGAATATAATTCTAACTCATTTCCCTTTAAAAGCATGTCAAAGTAATGATTATTGATTAATACCAAATTTACTCCTTTTGTTTTATTGCATTTAAAAAGTATTTGTGTAATCATTCACAGCCAAACATGTGTTATGGTGTTGAATATGGATTATATATATATATGATTCATGGTATTACATGAATAGGCGAGGATAAGTACATATAATTTTAATCAGGAACTTTTTATAGACAGCTGTTAGTATAGTAGAAAACATGATCAATTTTGTTAAAACATCAGAAATAACTGTATTTGTTTATTTGATAACATAAGTAAATAAAAGAACATAACTAATTTACTCATCATAATATATATATATATATAATATATATATATATCAAAAGGTGTTATATAGATTATCGTTGGAGAAGATCAAGTCCAAGCTT